CCCAAGTAAGTGCGTACAGCAGGGCCGGGGATCTTTACCAGCTCAAGGGCTGCATTCTCCCCTGGTAATATAATAATAATAATAATAATAATAATAATAATAATAATAATAATAATACCCCACCCATCTGGCTGGGTTTCCCCAGCCACTCTGGGCGGCTCCCAACAGAATATTAAAAACACGAGAAAACATCAAATATTAAAAACTTCCCTAAGCAGGGCTGCCTTCAGATGTCTTCTAAAAGTCAGGTACAGTCATACCTCTGGTTGAAAATGTGATCCGTGCAGGAGGCATGTTCGCAGCCTGAAGTGCTGCGTCTGCGCACGCGTGTAACGTGATTCGGCGCTTCTGCACATGTGAGTGATATCATTTTATGTTTCTGCGCATCCGCAACCCGAAAACGCGCAACCTGCAGTGTTCGTAAACCAAGGTATGACTGTAGTTGTTTATTTCCTTGACATCTGATGGGAGGACGTTCCACAGGGTGGGTGCCACCACCAAGAAGGACCTCTGCCTGGTTCCTTGCAACCTCACTTCTCACAGGGAGGGAACCGCCAACATACGCAATGTTCTCTGAGCAATACAGGAAGGAGCAAAGCTACGGTGGTTTGCACAGCGCAAAGAAGGGACTGGACGACACTCCAAGTAGAACCAAGTGGTTGCAGAGTTTATAGGCTACACCAATGAAGCTGTAGGTAGTTCGGGGGTCACACTTTTGAAGGCGCCCCCATATAGAAAAACAGAATTTTCTCATAGACATAGGGAGGAGGCTACTGAGATAGCTGTAAAAGCGATTTCTGTGCTGAGCCCCCTTTCACTTGATTTCCTGCTCCTGTTTTCATAAATATCAGCAGAACCAAAGCCGTCTATTTGAGGCAGGGTTTGAGGACAGAATGATGAAGACAGAGAAAAAAGATCTCTTGACTTTGACTTGGTGAGATTAACAGCCCTGAAACTACCGTATTTTTTGCCCCATAGGGCGCACCGGCCCATAGGGCGCACCTAGTTTTTTTGGGGGGGGAATAAAGAAAAAAAAATTATTTCCCCCCCAGGCGTGGGGCTGGGGCGGGGGAAGCCCAAGCTTCCCCTGACCCCAGCCCCCAGAACAGGCTTCTCTCCGCAAGCCGTGGGAGGGCTCCCACGGCTTGCGCAGAGCTACCCAAAGCCCGGGCGCGACTGCTCAGCGCGCCAAGGCTTCGGGGTGCAGGCAGCTCTCCGCAAGCCTTGGGAGCCCGGCGGGAACTCCCGCAGGCTCCCAAGGCTTGCGGATAGCTTCCTGAAGCCTGGAGAGCGAGAGGGGTCGGTGCGCACCAACCCCTCTCGCTCTCCAGGCTTCAGCGAAAGCCTGCATTCGCCCCATAGGACGCACACACATTTCCCCTTCATTTTTGGAGGGGGGAAAGTGCGTCCTATAGGGCGAAAAATACGGTAAGTCCTAGTTCAGGATTTGTGTCCAGTAACAGTTTGGTGTTACATGCTTCATGGAATAATATGTGTTTTCGGGAAATAATAATAATAATAATAATAATAATAATAATAATAATAATAATAAATATTCTTTGTTGTTCCCCGCCCCTCTGACTGGGTTACCCAGCACAAAACATTCACAAGCGTAGTACACACAGAGTTTCACCTTGCAGCGAAGTGTTGTGCATTCATGGTTTAGGCAACAAGTTTTGAGGAGAGAGGGGGGGAGAGAGAGAGAGGAAGAGATAGCTGTGAAGTAGAACATCCCAGACGTGTTGACGGGAATGTTTTAGGTCACTTGCAGAGGACTTGGGTTACTGCTCCAGGTTTCTCTCTTTCCGCACTCTTTGCCAATCAGCTGTCATCATCTGCCGGCCTTTTCCATGCCAAGTTCTGATATCGGGCAGTAATCTTGGGGGAAGAGAGAAAAGCATGGGCCGATTCCCGAGGCTGCCTGAAGTCCGCTCCTAAGGTCAATGACTAGAACATCTGTTCAAACAGCAGAACAAGGGAAATTGTGAGCGCAGAGTGTCCTATGATTTCTGTCTGCATTTCATTACTGGTTCCTAGATACAGTGGCAGAAGCGGAACATGTATGTGGCTGTTAAAAACAGCAGAAAACAAGGCCGGAGGAGTCTAAACAAGCTGTGCATACTGTTATATATTGGGTTTAACACATTTTATGTTGCAAGGCAGGGACGCGGGTGGCGCTGTGGGTTAAACCACAGAGCCTAGGACTTGCCGATCAGAAGGTTGGCGGTTCGAACCCCCGTGATGGGGTGAGCTCCCGTTGTTCGGTTCCTGCTCCTGCCAACCTAGCAGTTTGAAAGCACGTCAAAGTGCAAGTAGATAAATAGGTACCACTCCAGCGGGAAGGTAGACGGCATTTCCATGCGCTGCTCTGGTTCTCCAGAAGCAGCTTAGTCATGCTGGCCACATGACCCGGAAGCTGTACGCCGGCTCCCTTGGCCAATAAAGTGAGATGAGCGCCACAACCCCAGAGTCGGCCACGACTGGACCTAATGGTCAGGGGTCCCTTTACCTTTACCTTTATGTTACAAGGCGCATTCTAACCAATCATATAAGCATTGGTAGACGAACGTTCTAATGGCAGGTAAGCGCATGCACTGTCAACGGTCAACTGTCAAGTTCATCCTCAGCATTATTATTGTGGTGCCCAGTCAGTTCTGTTCTTGTTTTCCTAGGAGTGAGCTGTTGTCACTGACAAATGCTAAATAAACGTATCTGAGGAACTTATACTGCCTTGGGCGTCTGACTTCTTCCGAACATTTAACACTACCAATATGCGATGATGGATTGATGGGGAGTCCCCATCACACTGAATTATTTCTCTCATAGCAGCGCTGAGATGCGGGAGGGTGCATGATGTAACCAGCACCTTTCTTCTAGAATGTTGTGTTTTGAAATGTGCAATAAAAAACTAAACAACATTTGACAGTTCGTTCCCCCAAAGCATATCATGAATCAGGCAGGAAGGAGAAAGTGTTACTCTTTCTTGCTACTGATTTGCAAAGAGCCATCCAGCAAATTCATGACTAAAGTGAGACTGATGCAGTAATGCTTCGTAAACTGCAAATGAACAAATAACTCAAATTATTCATGCGTACAGTTTATAATAATTTGAGTTATTGTCAGTTACTATGTATATGCAGGTCATCGTTTCAATAATTCATTTGCAGTTTATGAAGCATTTCTGTATGCTTCTGCTGTGCTGAAGAAAAATTTCATGGCACAGTGTATATCCGGAATCACTGTTCACTAGGTCTGTTTGCGGACCACTTCGGCAGCGTTGGACGTCGTAAAACAAAGATTTATGGCTTGTTTTCACCAGATAAGAATCTGACCCATTGCTTCTTTCAGAGACTCGCATAGTCTACAAAGATTTTCAGAGACTTATAAGTTTATTTGGTTCTATGTTTTCAAGAGAATCCATCAAGAGTGCATATTTTGTGATTTTCAGAGATTTATAAGATTTCTGTTTATTTGGTTTTGCAGAGAGTGCATATTTCATACTGTTCAATGTTCTGTATAGATTATATAAAGAGCTTATATTGACATCGCATTGTTGTACTTGGTCATCGTGTTGCCTTGGATATTACTGATAATTATTTGCCTCACAGGGGTTTAATTTTTTTGTTACTTAAAGTGAGACTGAAGCAATAATGCCTTGGCTCACAACTTATACTCTTAACTGTACATACCATTTCTCTCTTAAACTGGACCTTCCTCAGTTGGTATGTCTCCCCTTGATCATAAGGTCGCTATAAAAGATTGCACTCCCCCTATTGGTGTTTCCTGCTTGGCAGGGGGTTGGACTCGATGGCCCTTGTGGTCTCTTCCAACTCTATGATTCTATGATTCTATTTTTAATGTGGTTGTTTTATTAAATATTTGTATCCCACTTTTCTGAGGGGTCAAGTATCTCAAGAACTGGAAGGAATTTTTAATTTACAACCCACACTTCAGTAGTTAAGATTGTCAGAATAACAGGTGTGGGAAACAGTATTTTTCAGTACTGAGGCTTGATTGATAGTGCAGAACAGTTTGGGGACTGTGTTCCCACCCTCCCAGATTGCTTACTGCACTCCTCCCCACCCCATCACCAAATATAACTGGTGTAAGCATTATACAACCAAATTCCAAACAGAAATCTATGGCTGTACCTGATGCTCCAAAAATTGCCTCTACCCACTGAATTTCCTAGGCGACTCTTGTCTGAGTTCTGAGCCAGTGTGGTGTAGTGATTAAGAGTGGTGGACTCGTAATCTGGTGAACTGGGTTTGCTTCCCCGCTCCTCCACATGCAGCTGCTGGGTGACCGTGGGCCAGTCACACTTCTCTGAAGTCTCTCAGCCCCACTCACCTCACAGAGTGTTTGTTGTGGGGGAGGAAGGGAAAGGAGATTGTTAGCCGCTTTGAGACTCCTTCGAGTAGTGATAAAGCGGGATATCAAATCCAAACTCTTCTTCTTCTTATCCTCCTATGATGAGGATAACATTAAATAGCTTTGAGATCTTTGGAGGAGATCCTGAATGGAAATACAGTGCATAGAAATGAGTCGAATGCCATTCACATTGGCTTAGGCCAGGGGTGGAGAATCTCAGGCCTGGATACTGAATGTGGACCTCTAGTTCTCTCTCTCGCCCTCAGGATGCTCTTTGGGCTGCACTGCTGCTGCTCCACATCCATCTTGAGCTCATTTGCCTGTCTACATTGTACCTTTGAGCTGTGGCGATGCCTGGATTTGAGGATCAAAAGATAAGAGTGTGTGTGTGTGTGTGTGTGTGTGTGTGTGTGTGGAAATGCCTGACTTTTGGGTGGCTGCCCTGTGCTTTCCAAATATAAGAGTGCCACCCGTTTTTCCAACATCACTTTGGCTGCGTCCACCATTGGCGTGTGTCTCAAAAGTTTCCCCATGCGGGAACGTGGGTGCAAATCAATTCCTTGCCCCTGGTATCATCCTGCAACGCTAAATGCCTTTCTTTGAATCTTTCCTTCTTCCTCCTCGTCTAGCTGGTCTGTCGGCAACTGGAGCGAGTGCAGCTTGACGTGTGGAGCAGGCGAGAGGTACCGCTACGTTCGTTGCATGCAGAGAGTTCACTACAAGCCAGAATGGGTGTCGGATTCTCTTTGTCGATTCCCGGCCCCAGCCAACAGGGAACTCTGCAACAAACAAAACTGCCCACCGACCTGGAGTGCTGGGTCCTGGTCTGAGGTAAACAAAATTCACGGGAGTTTTTGTCAAATATTGGAGCTGTTCCGACAAGTCCGCTTACCCTTTTAGGTACAGTGGTGTTGCAGACCTGCAATGCTTTGTATCACGGGATCCGGCGTGGGGGCTACAGATGATGGAGGCTCCCCTGCCGGCTGGAAGAAGCTTAGAGCTCCTCTTCACCAGCTGGGTATTTGGATCCAAGCCTGCCTACAAACTGACCAGTGGCAGGCAGGTTTGGAGGCAGGACCCTCCTAGTGGGTGGGCTTGAAGGGGCAGGTAGGCTCCCCCCAGGTCCACTCCCAGGATATATTTTTTATATACATAATAATTTTATTAAGTTTTCCATTTTAACAATCCAATCAAATCACATTAATTATTCCAAATTATACAAATACATATCATAAAGTCCAAATATTTTGCCAAATTATAATTTTTTTGTTCGGGGTTCCCATGCTTCGAGTTCAGTAGGGTCCAATCATCTCATATTTCTGCTGCTTTTAGTTTTCACCAGTCCCATCGTTCAATCTTCTTGTTATTATCCTTCTTTCTTTAATAGCCTCTGAGTTGTTTCCACAGGCAAGTTAAAGTAAACAATATTACGCTTTAATATATCCACTTTAAACTTCTCAGCACAAAGCCGACACACATCTTCTGTGGTAATATATGGTCTCACGAGCAAGGTTTTCCCTGTACAGCCACTGTTTACTTCCTGGAATGCAACTCGCAAATAGTTCTGTGAAGTGGGAAAATACGTGAGAAGAATAAATATTCAAATTCAAGACCTAAAAAAAAAAAAACCCACACGATTTCACCTGGTTTGTTGGGCTAATCAATGTGAAATATATGTATACTCCCAGGATATTTAAGGTGTCCTGGCCGAGCCCCAGCATAAAAAGCTCCCACTATTCACTCATGTGCTCCAGACTTCCTGTTTCCATGTGCAGTCTGATAGGTAAAGTAAAGGTAAAGCATCCCTGGACAGTTAAGTCCAGTCAAAGGCGACTATGAGGTTGCGGCGCTCATCTCAGGCTGAGGGAGGTGGTGTTTGTTCACAGACAGCTTTCCGGGTCATGTGGCCAGCATGACTAAACTGCTTCTGGTGCAACAGGACACTGTGACAGAAGCCAGAGCACACGGAAACGCCGTTTACCTTCCCACCACAGTGGTACCTATTTATCTACTTGCACTGGTGTGCTTTCGAACTGCTAGGTTGGCAAGAGTTGGGGTAGAGCAATGGGCGCTCACCCCATCATGGGGATTCGAACCACCGACCTTCCGATCGACAAGCCCAAGAGGCTCAGTGGTTTAGACCACATCACCACCCACATCCCTTGCAGTCCAGTAATATGTCTCCAAGTATATATTAGTCAGGGTGGAGTGTGTAGAATGGCAGCTGCCTTGATGATTTGCTTGTAGACCTTTGACTTCATTCACATGGTGGTCCTAATGTTCTAAATCTGACACATTTGTAAGAATAATTTTTCTTAAAATATTTTTCTAACATGCAGTAAATTTAGCGGTGGGTTGCTTTTTTTATTGAACTGATTAATGCGCTGGATTTGTTAAAAAAAAAATTATCCTACTAACATCTTTCATTATGTCTTGATTCTCTCCCACCCACCTGCAACTTCTGGAAAACATCAACCCCTAAATGTTTGTATTCCGTTCCATTTTCTCAGTGCTCTCGAACATGTGGGAAAGGCTGGAGGAAAAGAGTGGTTTTGTGCAGAAGCTCCAGTTCTACTCCCTGGGCTCAGGTTCTGTCCGATGCTGCCTGTGCCTCGGAACTGAAACCGAAGATGCAGGAAGCCTGCCTCCTGAAGCGATGCCACAAACATAAGAAGATCCAGTGGTTTGTGTCCACATGGACCGAGGTGAGAAAATGGAGAGGGCATTTCTATTCATTAATGTGTTGTTGTTGTTTAGTCGTTTAGTCATGTCCGACTCTTCGTGACCCCATGGACCAGAGCACACCAGGCACTCCTGTCTTCCACTGCCTCCCGCAGTTTGGTCAAACTCATGCTGGTAGCTTCGATAACACTATCCAACCATCTTGTCCTTTGTCGTCCCCTTCTCCTTGTGCCCTCCATCTTTCCCAACATCAGGGTCTTTTCCAGGGAGTCTTCTCTTCTCATGAGGTGGCCAAAGTATTACTTCTGTCTTAAACGGAATTTCAAACCTGCGCAGAATTTATTTCTAAATATGTGCACTATAGAGCACATTTCTCTCAACACACAATTATAACTTATGCGGAAAACAAGCTATTTTTAAAAATGCTATCTTGTCAGGGGTTCACAATGGAATTTCCACAAATCTTATCCAAGGAGAAAGTGCTACTTAAAATAAAAATAACACCTTGTCTCTCATAACACTGTGGAAGAGCCAAGCTTCGACTGTTCATCGAGTAGCGGTTCCGCACGGCGCAGATGTGCTTGCGGTATTAAGCGTTTGTCTCCTTCAGCAAATGCCCAAACTGTGTATGGCAGGTTCATGCCCTTCCACAAATTGGTTTGTGTGCGTCAGGGAGCTTTAATAAGACACATGTGCACAGATGTACATGTACATGTACATGTAGGGATGCAGGTGGCGCTGTGGGTTAAACCACAGAGCCTAGGACTTGCCGATCAGAAGGTCGGCGGTTCGAATCCCCACGACGGGGTGAGCTCCCGTTGCTCGGTCCCTGCTCCTGCCAACCTAGCAGTTCGAAAGCACGTCAAAGTGCAAGTAGATAACCAGGTACAGCTCCGGTGGGAAGGTAAGCAACGTTTCCATGCTCTGCTCTGGATCGCCAGAAGCAGCTTAGTCATGCTGGCCACATGACCCGGAAGCTGTACGCCGGCTCCCTCGGCCAGTAAAGCGAGATGAGCGCCGCAACCCCAGAGTCGGCCACGACTGGACCTAATGGTCAGGGGTCCATTTACCTTTACCTTTACACAGATGTTTAAGGATATACACCTGCCATTCACACCCCTGCGACCAGCAAGATTCCTATGTAAACGATGTGAAGCTGGATCAGACCCAAGGTCCGTTAGCTGGTTTCCCACTGTAGCCAACCAGAAGCAAGTCGCAAAGGCAAAGTACTGTTTTATCTGTAAGTTGCCTTGAGTCCCTTTCAGGGGAAAAGGCGGGATATAAATAAATACGTCATTAGCGGCAGCAGTGCACTGTACATTGTAACTCCCTCCAGCAGTGACCAAAAGCAGTGAGTGCAGGCAGTTAGTTATGCCCAGAGCCGGCCCACCCATGAGGTGGGGTGAAGCAACCGCATCAGGCAGCAGAAGCGCAAAAGGCGGTGCCCCTGCCCACCCCACTGATTCCACCCCCGCCAGAGAAGCAAACCAGGTAAGGGAGGTGGCAGAGTGATGCAGCACAGCTTGCTGCTCTCCCCCATCCCTGGGGCAAAGAGACCCGCACCAAAGCCTATGGAATTCCCCCCTTCTACCCGAATCTTATGAGAAGTCTGATAGGAAGCTGCTGTAGGAGGACTGAGAGCGGCATCTTGCGAGGGGCATCTCTAGGACTAAGGTGAAACTGTGAATCTCCCTTGTCAGTCTTTTGCTATTAGGTACTGCATGTTGTTTAAGTAATCTTGTAGGTTTATAGTACAGTGGTACCTCGGGTTACAGACGCTTCAGGTTACAGCCTCCGCTATCCCAGAAATAGTTCCTCAGGTTAAGAACTTTGCTTCGGGTAAGAACAGAAATCATGCAGTGTCGGCACGGCAGCAGCAGGAGGCCCCATTAGCTAAAGTGGTGCTTCAGGTTAAGAACAGTTTCAGGTTAAGTACAGACCTCCGGAACGAATTAAGTACTTAACCCGAGGTACCACTGTATTGAAAAGTGGGTTTTGGCATGCTGTTGTGTTATGCTGTTATTCTTGTTTTGCTATCTTATTAGGAAATATGACCGTATTTTTCTGTATATAAGACGCCCCCATGTCATAGCTGTCAAGGTTTCCCTTTTTTTAAAGGGAAATTCCCTTATTCTGAATAGGATTCCTCACAAGAAAAGGGAAAAGTTAACAGCTATGCCCCATGTATAAGACACCCCCTATTTTGGGAGCCTCCAAATTAAGAAAACACCCCTTAGCACTACCCGTGTATAAGACGAGCCCCAATTTCAAACCTAATTTTTTGGTTAAAAAAAACCCTAGTCTTATACACGGAAAAATACGGTATGTAATATCCAGTGGCGTAGCGTGGGGGGTGCAGGGGGGGCCGGCCGCACCGGGCGCAACATCTGGGGTTAGGGCAAATCCACGGGTTAGGGGGCGCAAATCCACGGTTAGGGGGCGCAAATTACTTGCCTTGCCCCGGGTGCTGACAACCCACGCTACGCCACTGGTAATATCACAAAATGGTTTTTGTAATGTGTGTTTGAAAAGCATCCCTGCTTCTTTGCTGTGAGTCACTTTGAGTTTGGGGTGTGTGTTTGTGTAAGTGACATACAAATGATTGAATGAATCTTGGCAAAAGTGAGGCGTTCCAATGCACAATGTTTCACTCCAGAGGGGTGGTGAATGTTTGCAAAGACTCCTTAAGAAATATTTCTCCTTAAGGAGAAATCCTTGTAGATCCCCACCGCCCTGCCAGGTGCCAATGTCTTGGCCGCCCCTGATTATGCCATAGAATGTGGGGTGTCAGTTTGAAAATAAAAATTAAAAAAAGCTGTGGAGGGGGAGGAATAGAAGCTAACTTGCTTGAATGCTGATCAGAAGCATTAATAATCATTGAGCAACCAATGTGGAAATATTCTTATGCTGACTGCAGAGATGCTGTTCAGACCAAAAGCACAGTTAAGCCATATTTATAGTATTCTGGCAAAGGTGTAAGAGAGATAATGAAAAGGGTAAAGGGACCCCTGGCCATTAGGTCCAGTCGTGGCCGACTCTGGGGTTGCGGCGCTCATCTCGCTTTATTGGCCGTGGGAGCCGGCGTACAGCTGGTCATGTGACCAGCATGACTAAGCCGCTTCTGGAGAACCAGAGCAGTGCATGGAAACGCCATTTACCTTCCCGCCAGAGTGGTACCTATTTATCTACTTGCACTTTGACGTGCTTTCAAACTGCTAGGTTAGCAGGAGCAGGGACCCAGCAACGGGAGCTCACCCCGTCATGGGGATTTGAACCACCGACCTTCTGATCGGCAAGTCCTAGGCTCAGTGGTTTACACCACAGCGCCACCCACGTCCCTGTAAAAGAGATAGGGGACCTAAAATTTTAATGCTAATGCATTGTCACTCTATTCTCTTCCCTGCACCTCCTTTTCTAGTGCTCTGTGACGTGTGGAAAGGGAGTGCAGAGGAGGACACTGAACTGTGCAGAAAAATATGTTTCTGGAAAATACAGAGAACTTGCTCCTAAGAAGTGTTCCCACCTTCAGAAACCAAACATAGACCTGGAAAAGGCCTGCATCCTAAACCCATGTCCCAGGCACTCTGCTTATTCACCAGTAAGTCAAGGCAGCTGGTTTTCATCTTCTTGGTCTCAGGTAAGGATGCCGCCAACTTTGAACCCGTTTTATATTTCACATTAGACCTCATCCATCATGTTTCTTTCAAACAGTGTCTCTTTTGCCCTGTGTTTATGCTCCTGACATGGTCTCTTACTTCCAGGTCTGGTCTATGGAGAGAGCTGGCTTGTGTAGTATAGAGACTACAAATGTGCGGGAAATTGATTGATTGGCAGTCGAGGCAGATGAAAGAAAGGGCACATAGCAAAAGGGCTTTGAACCCCTCCCTCAAGTGCAATATAAATGTTGTTCATTCTAATGTGTGGATATTTTGTACCCCTTATTTATTTAGAAGCTATATAGAGTAAGGTAAGGGTAAAGGGATCCCTGACCATTAGGTCCAGTCGTGGCCGACTCTGGGGTTGCGGCACTCATCTCGCTTTATTGGCTGAGGGAGCCAGAGTACAGCTTCCGGGTCATGTGGCCAACAGGACTAAGCCGCTTCTGGCGAACCAGAGCAGAGCATGGAAACGCTGTTTACCTTCCCACCGGAGCGGTACCTATTTATCTACTTGCACTTTGACGTGCTTTCGAACTGCTAGGTTGGCAGGAGCAGGGACCGAGCAACGGGAGCTCACCCCGGCACGGGGATTCGAACCGCCGACCTTCTGATCGGCAAGTCCTAGGCTCTGTGGTTTAACCCACAGCGCCAACCGAACAATTTAAAACAAATTATCAATATACAAATAAAATTTGCAAAGTTTAAAATCTGTATGTATCCCTTGTTCACATGTCCAAAAAGGCTCACCAAAACAAAAATGTTTTAGCAGACATCTAAGATATGTGGACAGTAAACATGAAAACCGTAATTCTGAAGGGAAAAGATATTCATCGGGAAATTATGGAAGAGAATGCATTTTATTTGCTTTACGAAGCACTTTGGGCTGTCTCATACCAGCTGCTTATTAAGGCGTCCAATTATTTTAGTGACATATTCAGAAAAGAACATTGAAGTGGGGCCACCTTAATTCAAAAGCTAAAGGTTTGGGTAAGTCCATGTCCCGTAGAAATAAGTAGCATATTGTTGCAGATCATTATACCTAGCAATTATCAGGGAAGCGTCTATGTGTTTATGACATAGAAACCAGCAAGTCCCCTGCACTTAGCACAGTTTTAGGTTACCTATTAATGGCTTGCTGGTGCTCAGTTGCTTGTAAGCATTTTCACACCATAAGCCATGCTAAGCACTTGAGAGGACTGTGAAGATACAATGGCTTGATGCCCATGGAGGTTTATTCTTGGATTGGCTGCGCCATTTGGACATCCGTTTTTGAGCTGGCAGTTTAAGTTTATGGAAGTTACCTTTCATCGGAAGGATGGTACTAAAAAAATAAACATTTGGTTTGGAGGAAATGACTCATTGCCAAAGAGTGCAGTAGCAACAGTAACATATATCATATTTTGCCCCTGGGTTCTGTCTCTTTGTTGCATTCTAGAATGACCATGAAATGACAGTAAGACAGTAAGAGACAGTAAGACAGTAAGAGCTGTTCGACAGTGGAATTTGCTGCCAAGGAGTGTGGTGGAGTCTCCTTCTTTGGAGGTCTTTAAGCAGAGGCTTGACAACCAGATGTCAGGAGTGCTCTGATGGTGTTTCCTGCTTGGCAGGGGGTTGGACTCGATGGCCCTTGTGGTCTCTTCCAACTCTATGATTCTATGATTCTAAGTCCAGCAGGGGCGTTGTATAGGAACCGGCACATAGATTTGTGGACTTCCACTTAGCTCTCTGGAGCAAAACAAGCAGAGGAAGAGAAAGGAAATACAGTGGTGCCTCGCAAGACTAAATTAATTCGTTCCGCAAGTTTTTTCTTCTTGCGAGTTTTTCATCTTGCGAAGCACGGTTTCCCATAGGAATGCATTGAAAATCAATCAATGTGTTCCTATGGAAACCGCCTTCAGACCAGGTCCGGGGACAGTCTGTCCCCCGACCTCTTCTGAAGGCTGGGGGGGGGGGACAAGGGCTTTTCTTCCCACCCCCAGCATTTTAAAAAAAACCCGGGACAGCAGAGGAATTCTCCGCTGTCCGGGGCGATTTAAAAGCCCCCGGAAAGGCAGGCAGGGGGGAGCAAAGACTTCCTTCCCCCCTCCATTTGTCTAACATTGCCCCATGCCAATGCCTAACCGCCAATACCGAGAAAGTTGTGACGATTGCTACGAGGTAGGCGAAAAAACCAAAAGGCCGGAAATTGCGGCAACTTGGAAAAATTCCTACCAGGCCCCTTGCGGCGACCAACCGAAGTCCATAGCAAAGCCAAGCCTGCCTAATCTAAGGGTGGGTGGGATGGGAAAACCGCTCCTCAGCTGGGCGAGGGGAAAAGAGGGCGGTCCCCGGGCGTGCCTGGCCCTAAATAGTCCGGGCCACGCCTCCCCCGCCCGCCGATTGGCGGGCTGGGTGCAGTCACGCCCGGGGATTCCCCCAAGTCTCGCGGGGGCAAGGGAAACCCCCGTGAATGTGGGAGGATCCTGCCCGCAACACCCTCTCCGCTGCAAGGGGCGGAAAGGGCTTCCTGAGAAAATAGAAGGGAAAGCGTGTAGTTTCCTGGGAAACTTGCACTACCGGTTTTTGAGGCTGATGAATGAATTTCCAGGTTCTGGCTGGAAATTTGCGTTAGGGGAAACTATGAACTACTGTACATCTTGAAACCCTATTCATCTTAACCTAGGCCCCACTGAGCTCAAGGATCTACACCCAAATAAGTTTTTTGAGGAACATTGGTTAGTTAGACAAATCAATTAAACCCCCTTTTTGTTTTTTTAATAGTTTTTTTCAAAAGAGGGAATCTTCATTTGATTTGGCAACATGTTCCTTGCATACATTTAAAGCACTCTTATAGTGGGACGCGGGTGGCGCTGTGGGTAAAAGCCTCAGCGCCTAGGGCTTGCCGACCGAAAGGTCGGCGGTTTGAATCCCCGCGGCGGGGTGCGCTCCCGTTGTTCAGTCCCAGCGCCTGCCAACCTAGCAGTTCGAAAGCACCTCTGAGTGCAAGTAGATAAATAGGGACCGCTTAGCGGGAAGGTAAACGGCGTTTCCGTGTGCTGCGCTGGCTCGCCAGAGCAGCAATGTCATGCTGGCCACGTGACCCGGAAGTGTCTGCGGACAGCGCTGGCTCCCGGCCTCTAGAGTGAGATGAGCGCACAACCCTAGAGTCTGTCAAGACTGGCCCGTATGGGCAGGGGTACCTTTACCTTTACCTTTTATACCACTTTAAACAGTCATGGCTTCCCCCTCAAAAAACTCTGGGAGCTGTAATTTGCTATGGGGGCTGACAGTTGTTAGGAGACCCCTGTTCCCCTCCCAGAGCTACTATTCCCAGAACGATTTAACAGTCACCCCTCCTTCCCAGAGTTCCCTGCGATTTCCAAACTGTAGCTCTGGCCCTCCAGGTTCAGGGATGGTGGGAACTGTAGCCCAACAAGGACATACATCACAAGGGACCAGATAAAGCAGCTGAACGTTCAACCCTATGCCCTTTGCTTTATGTCTATATTAACAGGTATAGGATTGGGCAGCGTGTGAAAGGCCCTAACTGCATATATGGCAGTAATAATCCAAAGTAAACAGGTAGCTGGAATACTGCAGAGATCTCTTACTGAAGCAGCATTGCAAAAATTTGCAGCAATTACGCTCTTGTCTTTACTTCTCTGTTTACACGTTGACATTTTCAAAAGGTTTGCATTCTATTAAACGTGCGGCTGGGCTCTGCTTTCCCTTTCAGTGCACAACAACCTGTGGAGGAGGCATGCAAGTCAGGTCTGTTCAGTGTCTGGCCAACGGGAGGTCAGCCACTGGATGTCTGCTGCACCAGAAGCCGGTCGCCTCGCAGGCCTGTAACACCAACTTCTGCCCTCTTCCTGAAAAGAAAGGTAAGTTCTGTTTCTTTTGTTGCCGTTTTTCCCAGCTTCCACTTTTGCATTTAAGGTTTGGACTCACTGAACAGACCACCTGAGGTTAAGGGGCTGTGAGGGAAGGGACTGACAATTCCACACCTTTCCTGCATCCTGCAGCCAAGTCTTGTGATTCAAGGACCCGATCCCCGCTTGGGGAATGAAGACATAAGGACACAGTATATTAGGTTAATGGGCATGTAAGAAGGTATTGGCTTAGGCATTGGACCACTGACAATTTGACTCCAACCCACTCGGAGAGGGGTGAGTCTGAATGAGGGGTTAACCACCAGTAGGGGGACCCTGTTGATGCAAATACAACTATAAGCTCTCCCCTGATGTCACCGGGGGTCGTGCCATGGCCCCCCGCCACACAGGGCATCGGACAGGATCCACGACCGCCAGATTCCTTTAACGGAATACCCCCAAATGAAGGGTAGGCGATGGCCACACCTTGCCCCTTCCATACACCAACAACACATTCCAATGCCTAACCACCAAATACCGAGACAGTTGTAGGCGGGAAAAACCAAGAGGCCGGTGCCAATTTGCCAATTGGAAAAAACTCCTACCAGGCCCCCTGGGCAACCAGGGCGACCAACCATAGGTCCATAGCAAGGCCAAGCAAGAAGCTACGCCCTAGAGGGAGTGGTGGGTGGGTGACTCGTGGGTAGATCGGGAGCAAATGGCGGAGGAAGCTGGCATGGCCGCATTTGAGTGGCTAAACCAGGGGTCTGCAACCCGCGGCTCCGGAGCCGCATGTGGCTCTTTTACATCTTTGCCGCGGCTCCGGGGTGGATACTAGCGAGGGGAGGAGGCGCATTGTGCGCCCCGACACTCCTCACTGTGGTGGGCGCTGTACTGGCTGTGATGTCGCTTGGGGGCGGTGTGTGCGTTAGTCACGCACCGTCCCGACGTCACCTTCCCACCCGCTGTCAGATCGCGGCTCCGGAGATATATTTGTTTTAAATGTCGCAATGGTTTTGCGGCTCCTAGTTGTTGTTTTTTCTTCGGAAACGGGTCCAAGTGGCTCTTTTTGTCTTAAAGGTTGCAGACCCCTGGGCTAAACCATCCCCCCCCTGGTGCCACTCGATTGGGTGCCCAACTGGGGGGGGGTGTGGCACGCCAGCGAGAAGGCAGGGGGCCAAACGCCCCCTGCGTGACGCGGGAATCGTCTCCCGGTCACAACCCCTCCCCTCCGGAAGGAGGAGAAGCTTTCTCTGGCAAGGTGGCAAACCTGCTTAGGACAACAGCCTCACCTGAGAAGGAGAGCTTTGCACGGTGCTGATCTGTGCCATCCAAACCTCCATCAGTCGATCTTTCTCAGGTGGGGCTTGCCCCTCTCAGAACAGCCTCTCCACCTGTAAAGGTTTGGCTGCAGCAGTCTAGGCAATGGGGCATTCTGGCTGAAGAGAGGCACTGCTCTCTCAGCATGGCTTTCTTGGGTGCCAAGGCCTCATGGCCCCATGGCCCCCAGTTCCCTACTGATTAATAAACACACAGAAGCAAGTATTTAGGTTTATGGGCTAAAACAGGCCACAACTTTATTGGTTACAGATGTGAGCGGTTTGGCTTAGGCATTGGGTGAAGCCAAACTATATCTTGACTCCCACCCATCTACAGGGAGTCAAACTAAGGGTAAACCACCGAAAGAGGGAGCTCTATGACTTACATCATATAGGGGCACCCCGAGAGGTCCCCGTTGGGGTCGTGGCATGGCCCTAGCCCACGTCCGGGCTTCGGACAGGATCCGCACCCCCGGATACCCTTATCGGGGAGGGGCAGGCGGATTCTGCAACCTACTCTCCATTAAACAAAGTCTTATCCAATGCTTAACCTTACAAAGTTGCAGTGATTGCTACGAGGTAGGTGAAAACCCAGTGGCAGGTGCCAATTCGCCAAGTGGGGGAAATTCCTAGCCAGCCCCAACCATAAGGCAGCCAACATTTGTCCATAGCATCATACAAAAAGCTGAAAAAGAGCAAAATTACAACAAAAATTACAAACATTGAATCCAAAAGAAAACAGTACAAACAAGAAAAGAAAACAGACGAGAAAAAAGAACACAAAAAACCACATCTACAAATAAAACCATATCATCATTCTAATCTAATCATTACATACATATACACATATTGACTTCCTTCCTTTGTTCTAAGACCTTGAAAGTTTTACTCATTCTCAGTTGTTGTGTCTAATGTAGATTACCTCTATCTTTATACTTTTTACACCATTTTCTCTTTCTTTAACCCTGCAAAGCATCATTCATTACATACCGATATGCTTACTCCAGAACAATGTTTTTTCATATACTCTTTAGCTCATCCCCATTCTTTTAATAATTTTTGGTCTGATGGTCCCCTTATGAATGTTGTGAGTCTTGCCAGATTTATATAGTCACAAAATTTTCATTGTAATTTTGCATTGAAAGTAAAAAATAAAATAAAATAAATAAAATAAATAAAAACAAAAGCTGAAAAAGAGGGCGGGTGGGTTGGGAGATCTGGTGAGGAGGCGAGAGAGGAAAGCCCCCTGGCCACGCCACAGTTTAAAACTCCCGCAGCCATAACACAGCCAGGGCTTGGCGCAAGGGGAGCTTCAATCCCCCGCTCCCGAGCCAAATCTCCACGAGAGCCTGGCCGCAACGCCGCCCACTACAAAAGGTGAGCAGTCTTATCCACATTTTCTTCATCAGTGGCGTCATGAGTTGGAACACTTAGAAAACACACTAAGATTACACATAAAAGCAGGTGTGAACACTGATCCACTGCAATTAGGTTTCCCGCAACTTGGACCCAGCCTCCTTCTGCTTCCACAACCCATTTTGCAAATGTAAGGTAAAGGTAAAGGGACCCCTGACCATTAGGTCCAGTCGTGACCGACTCTGGGGTTGCGGCGCTCATCTTGCTTTATTGGCCAAGGGAGCCGGCGTACAGCTTCCGGGTCATGTGGCCAGCATGACTAAGCCGCTTCTGGTGAACCAGAGCAGCGCATGGAAACGCCGTTTACCTTCCCTCCAGAGCGGTACCTATTTATCTACTTGCACTTTTGGTGTGCTTTCGAACTGCTAGGTTGGCAGGAGCAGGGACCGAGCAACGGGAGCTCACCCCGTCCCAGGGATTCAAACCGCCGACCTTCTGATCAGCAAATCCTAGGCTCTGTGGTTTAACCCACAGCGCCACCTGCATCCTTATTTTACAAATGTACCATCCCATGAATCAAATGGTGATTCAGCCTCATCTTGCAGCTTCAGGCAAACTGTTGTCCCTAATTTTACTTGCACTTTTGCACCATTAAATTTGCACTCATCCTTTAATAGAAAAAGGAAAGGCGATTGTTAAAAACATTTTTTAAATTTAAAAAATGTATCTTTGGGGGGGGAGGGAGAAGTTGGTTAGTTATATCCAGGTGTGCCAAGTAAGGGGGCCAGAGGGTCAGGGGCCCCAGAACATTTTCAATGAAGGGGCCGGGCCCCTCAAAGTTCTGCAGCAGATGTGCATGCATGCTGCAGGGTGTGCTCACGACATGCGTGCAAGCTGCAGGGCTTTTACACGACACATCAACATCCCCTGTGGCATGCACGCATGGAGGCAAGGCAATGCATGTGGTCATGTCACTAGTTCCGAACTATTCAGTGCTGTGCAGAGCAACGTCTGTAAAGAAGAAGAAAGAAAATGATGTCATGTCGCAGTAACACAAGATTAAAGGTAAAGGGACCCCTGACAATTAAGCCCAGTCGTGAACGACTCTGGGGTTGCGGCGCTCATCTCGCTTTACAGGCCGAGGGAGCCGGCATTCGTCCACTTCCACAGACAGTTTTTCCGGGTCATGTGGCCAGCATGACTAAGCCGCTTCTGGCAAAACCAGAGCAGTGCACAGAAAGCCATTTACTTTCCCGCTGGAGCGGTACCTATTTATCTACTTGCACTGCGTGCTTTCGAACCACTAGTTTGGCAGGAGAACACAAGATTAGTGTGATTCTACAGCAGGCTCCCTGGACGCGGGTGGTCCCGGGACGCGGGTGGCGCTGTGGGTAAAAGCCTCAGCACCTAGGGCTTGCTGATCGAAAGGTCGCGGTTCGAATCCCCGCGGCGGGGTGCGCTCCCGTTGTTCGGTCCCAGCGCCTGCCAACCTAGCAGTTCGAAAGCACTCCCGGGTGCAAGTAGATAAATAGGAACCGCATGCGGCTCTGGCTCGCCAGAGCAGCGATGTCACGCTGGCCACGTGACCCGGAAGTGTCTCTGGACAGCGCTGGCCCCCGGCCTCTTGAGTGAGATGGGCGCACAACCCTAGAGTCTGTCAAGACTGGCTCGTACGGGCAGGGGTACCTTTACCTTTACCTTTACAGCAGGCTCACCGCCAATAATATACTGTACAGTGGTACCTCAGGTTAAGAACTTAATTCGTTCCAGAGGTCCGTTCTTAACCTGAAACTGTTCTTAACCTGAAGCACCACTTTAGCTAATGGGGCCTCCCGCTGCCACCACACCGCCGCTGCGCAATTTCTGTTCATCCTGAAGCAAAGTTCTTAACCTGAGGTAATATTTCTGGGTTAGTGGAGTCTGTAACTTGAACCATATGTAACCTGAAGCATATGTAACCCAAGGTACCACTGTATATGTCTGAGTTCACCCTGTTTCTCTCAACCATTAGTAGTGCCATATTGTCTAAAGTCTTCTCCCTCTCTTTTGACACTTCTCGTTTCAGATACCTTCTGTAAGGATTACTTTAACTGGTGCCACTTGGTTCCCCAGCACGGCGTTTGTAACCATAGCTTCTACGGGAAGCAATGCTGCAGGTCTTGTGTAAACTCAAATTTGTAAGGGAGACTTGCTCCTCAGGCAAAAAGCGTAGCTTTTGAGTGCAAACCTTGCTGCGCCTTCAAACCCGGAACTGTCAAACACATGATTCTCAAGAGTGACTTCAATTTGCTCTGAAGCCTACTTTGATTATTCAATGAGTGAGGTGTCTCAAATATTTGAGGTGTCTCAAATATTTTTCAGTACTGTATTCTGAAGTGACCCCCACCCCCACCCCACTACTGTTTTGGGGTTCTTAAGACGAATGGAGGGAAGGGGTTTTAATGAACAGGGACGTTTTCTGCGTTGGAACTGGTCCTTCAGAAGCTGGCATCTTTTTTTGAGACGACACCGAAGAGTTGCCTGGAGCATGGACATCTGAAGCCGTCAACAGAGAAGTCCGGCCTGAGGGAGAACTTTGGTTCTTTTGACCACCCCTTTGGGCACCATCTACCAGGTAGTTCTCTTGCACGAACCCCACCAAAATCTGTGGCGGCTGTGCAAAGAGCCCAGAAGCGTTTCCACTGGGCTTATTGTGCGGGGACAGCTTTGCACTGGATTGCGTCCAAGATATTTATTGCATTTTACCAGTGTTCTTGCACAGCTCCCGGCCAACTCCACGGGACCTTGTTTAGGAGAACTCCCAGGTGAGCGTCGCTGTTCACCTGCAGCTTTGTGCCTCATGCCCTAGTGGCAGAATCTATAAACGCCCTATTTAAATGAAGACTGTAACTGATTACAGCAGTTGAAACATACTTGAGGCTCTTTGGCCAATAAATAAACCTGAACTGCTTTAGTTAGATCTGTAGCTTTTAACGGATGAGAGAATCTGAGGGGGAGGGCAGGCAAGGACAAGCCTCAGGGGTGCCCTTTCCCTCGACATTTGCCAGATAAGATCCTTTATATTTGTTGTTTTCAAATGAGCGATCTTATTTAAATGTCCTTGTTTTATGCTGTACTGCGAAGTGTAAAAAGAGTGTTCTGCCATCAGTGTTACTTAAATGGCTGATTATACCAAAACTATGTTTGCATTTAAACATAAGGTACTACTACCATGTTAGATTCCAGCACCATAGTAACATATTAAGCCTAGGAAATTGTTTTATCTTTTTTGCAATGTAATACTATTCAGGGCAACTGGAACATGTTTTGCAGGTTTAGAAGCTGCACGGAATGCTGCCATCAGAGATGTGTATATTCTGCAATTCCACAGATCAAAAATGCATATATATGTTACTGAGCATGGAATGACAATTCCAGAGGATCTTGGATTTCATTAAACAAGTTTCGAGCTCTCATGGCTGCCAGGATACATTGCAGTGCAATCATTTGCATGTCTACTTGAAAGCAAATTCTAATGAGCTCAATGAGGCTTATGCCCAGGTAAGTTTATATAAGATTGCAGCCTTAAATGTGTGAGGGCAATGCTTGCCAAAGCCTCAGATTTCAGAACAATTGCTCAACAACATTTCTGCTGTTGTGATAGGGCTTCAGTTGCAAAAGCAGAATAAATTTTGCAAAATATGGAAAAATGCACATGTTTGTATTGTTTGCAAAATTGATGGAGAACACAGAATTTGACTTTTTTTTTGTGCTGAATTTTTCACTGTTGGAAATGCGGAGTGTGCACAGCTCTGAGTAAAATGTAAACTGCAATTACAGCATTGTTGCTTCCTCAAGATTTTCTGGTGCTGTCACTCCAAATGGAAATCTGAATATTTATGTTATCTGAAGTTTAATAAAAAAATTATTTGTTTCTTTAATGTCTCGTCTCAAAAGTAATTTCAGATCCTGCTTCCGATGTCCAGTCCATTGTAAACTTTTATTGTATCCATTTCTTGCTGCATTTATTAAATCAGTTAGCAGCTAGCAGTCCCACGGCCAAATTTTTTTAAAAAAAAGAAAATTTGGGCATGAGTTTTTCAGACCTGTTTTCAGACTCAGCAAAAAAAATGTGTATGCTTTAAGAAGCATTTACTGAGATGATGGGCTAGCAATGACATTTTATAGCGATCTCTTGGCAGCTCCCGTTAGACCAATGCACAGATTGTGGTGAGCATTATATATGACTAAGTTTGCCAAACATTTCTAGAATGGATGTGAAAATCTCCTTTATTAAAACAACAAAAACAACATAAATCTTCCAAGTCTGATCACATGTTACATCAAACCTCAACATTATTTAGAGAGTGTCTGAATGACTTTGCTTCAGACTGGTTGGACGTCTCTCATATTATCCGTATTACAGAAGTTCTTCCTTTTGAATAGGAAGGCTTAGTGATTCTTTCCTATGCTTTTCTCCTCCTACTGAATGGGAAATAACTACAGCCTGTGTTACTGGCTGCAGGATTTAACTTTTCAAAGATCTCAAACTGGATTCAGCAAGAAGAGGAGCAGGTCTCTAAGGCCTAATGGTTGCAAATATAATTCTAGAAAGTAAATGGGCAGTGTTGGGCGATGGAAGAGTTACTGAATAGAATTTCCAGAGAGCAGAACTTCAACAATTGCCCTGCCCCATAACCAACAGAAACAGAATAAATCATACTGAGAAAAAAACCCAAATAAATCATGCAAAACAAGAAGAAGAAGAAGAACTACTACTATTAATACTACTTTGTTGTTGTTGTTGTTGTTGTTGTTGTTGTTTAGCTGTTTAGTCGTGTCCGACTCTTCGTGACCCCATGGACCAGAGCACGCCAGGCACTCCTGTCTTCCACTGCCTCCCGCAGTTTGGTCAAACTCATGCTGGTAGCTTCGAGAACACTATCCAACCATCTCGTCCTCTGTCATCCCCTTCTCCTTGTGCCCTCCATCTTTCCCAACATCAGGGTCTTTTCCAGGGAGTCTTCTCTTCTCATGAGGTGGCCAAAGTATTGGAGTCTCAGCTTCAGGATCTGTCCTTCCAATGAACACTCAGGGCTGATTTCCTTCAGAATGGAGAGGTTTGATGATCTTGCAGTCCATGGGACTCTCAAGAGTCTACTACTACTACTACTCAGTGGCGTAGCGTGGGTTGTCAGCACCCGGGGCAAGGCAAGTAATTTGCGCCCCCTAACCCGTGGATTTGCGCCCCCTAACCTGTGGATTTGCCCCTAACCCCAGATGTTGCGCCCGGTGCGGCCGGGCCCCCCTGCACCCCCCACGCTACGCCACTGCTACTACTCCTTTATTTATACCCTGCCCAACTGGCTGGGTTTCCCCAGCCACTCTGGCCAGCTTACAGCGTATCTTAAAACATCAAGCATTAACAACTTCCCGATACAGGGCTGCATTCAGATGTCTTCTAAAAGTTGTGTAATTCTTTATCTCCTTGACATCTGAAGGAAGGCGTTCCACAGGGAGGGCACCACCTGAGAAGGGCTTCTGCCTGGTTTCCCTGTAACTTCACTTCTCGCAGTGAGGGAACCAGCAGAAGACCCTCGAAGGAGGACCTCAGTGTCTGGGCAGAATGATGGGGGTGGGGACGCTCCTTTGGGTATACTGGCCTGATTCCTTTGGGGGCTTTAAAGGTCATCACCAACACTTTGGATTGTGCTTGGGAACGTACTGAGAGCCAGTGAAGACTCCTTTAGGACTGGTGTTATATTCTCCCGGCATAATGCACATAGGTAGCAGAATCCAGCAAACCTTAATGCAGAATTTAGCTTACCATGGACCTCTCTCTAAAGGCAGCTGCTTCTGATCAAAACTCATGCCCACTTTGAATGGTAGTAGGGGGAGTTAAAAGACCATATCACGGAAGTCCCCATGTATACTCTTTTTGCCACAGCAGACATGCTAAAAACTAATATAAATACCTGGTTTTTATGCTGGTTCCAACCATGTCAAATGAAATGTTTCCACAGTTATATGTGGGGAGGGTAAAATCAGCCAAAGAACTGATAGGGAACATACCGTATTTTTTGCTCTATAAGACTCACTTTTCCCTCCTAAAAAGTAAGGGGAAATGTGGTGCGCGCACTTATAGAGCGAATGCAGGCTGTGCGGCTATCCCAGAAGCCAGAACATGCAAGAGGGATTGCTGCTTTCAACTGCGCAGTGATCCCCTCTTGCTGTTCTGGCTTCTGAGATCCAGAATATTTTTTTTTCTTGTTTTCCTTCTCCAAAAACCGAGGTGCGTCTTGTGGTCTAGTGCGTCTTATTAGAGCAAAAAAATACGGTTGCAGTGGTGCCCCGCAAGACGAATGCCTCGCAAGACGAAAAACTCACTAGACGAAAGGGTTTTCCGTTTTTTGAGTTTTTCCGCAAGACGAATTTTCCCTATGGGCTTGCTTCGCAAGACGAAACGTCTTGCAAGTTCTTGTGAGTTTGTTTCCTTTTTCTTTAAGCCGCTAAGCCGTTTAATAACCGCTAAGCCGTTAATAGCCGCTTAAGCCGCTAATAGCTGCTAAGCCGCTAAGCCGTTAATAGCCGCTAAGCCGCTAAGCCGCTAATAGCCACTAAGCCGCTAATAGCCGTGCTTCGCAAGACGAAAAAACCGCAAGATGAAAGACTCGCGGAACGGATTAATTTCGTCTTGCGAGGCACCACTGTACATTCTTTAAGTAGAAGTCATTTCTGCTTTTGCAGCTTCCTCTGCTTATATTTAACAAATAATTCTTTCAACGCCACCCTGCTTCTGTCTGTTCATCTGCAAGCCAAGCCAAGCTTAACCAGAGCTTGCATGCCCCAGTGTGTATTTTGGATAAATCAGAAGAATGCTGCCTGCTGGACGTCTTTGGGAAAGTCTTTGGGTACTACTGCAGCAGCAGGTGCTGTGACATTCAAATGACCTTAACGGTAAAGACTCCGGGACTTAGTCCCACTAATCCAGACACAGCCACAGGTAATTATTGGAATCAAAGATTCCTGAATTTGTTCCTATGTAAACCTCTGACTCATCCACTCCAAAGTGTCAGGGTGGCCACCGTCGACATTTCCCAGCTGAAGAATCTGCTGGTTTCATCGTTTTGTGGGTCACCTTCAGGTCCCGGTCCCAAATTAATTAACTTTTCGGAAACGTTGCCATGCGTAATAGGCCATGCTGGTGGTGGTGGGTTCATGAGGGGAAAAGTATAGAAAGCTCACTTACTCCAATCCCATTGTCTGTGCGGAAA